TGTCTGTGTCTGTCTGAGTGTGTGTGTGTGTGTGTGTGCAGTCATGTTTATTTACTGCACAGCAACAGTTTCACAAAATCACTCTTATATAACGATATCTGTCATTTATGAGGCGTTACTAGTAACCAGCTGTTAAATAGTCCTTTTACAGCGATTTGGTGCAAACTTCTCATGACTGTTTTTATTTTCTTTAGACACATGAATTCTGCCTGATCTACATGGAAATATGCAGATTTCGCATCTAGATTTCCCCAGAGAAAATTAATCAGAAAAACATGCATTTTTTATGGACCATCTTCATCTAATATGACTCAAGTCATTATTCAAACTCAACTACACATTCATACTCAAGTCGCGTGTGTGTGTGTGTGTGTGCAGGAGTTTGGCGGTTACGTCCAGCAGGTGAAGTACAGCATTGAGCGAGTGAAAGCGGCTATGCCTCGTGTGTATGAGCTGGCAGCGGGCGGCACTGCGGTCGGCACTGGACTCAACACACGCATCGGCTTCGCTGAGAAAGTAGCAGATAAAGTGGCTGCACTCACAGGTAAAAAAAGTTAAAAGCGCTATATAAATTAGGGCTGCAAAACAATTAGTCATGATTAATCGATTCAAAGTAAAAGTTTATGTTTACATACTATATGTGTGTGTACTGTGTATATTTATTATGTATATATAAATACACACACATATGTGTATATATTTATAAAATATTTGTATGTATTGGTATGTAAACACTTGTATATAATTTATATTATATATAAATCTAAATATTTTACATATAACATCGTTTTCCTTAATATATACATGTATGTGTGTGTATTTACATATACATAATAAATACACACAGTACACACACATCTGTGACCTTGCAGCACAAAAGCAGTGTTAAGTCGCTGGGGTATATTTGTAGCAATAGCCAACAATACATTGTATGGGTCAAAATTATTGATTTTTCTTTTATGCCAAAAATCATTAGGATATTAAGTAAAGATCAGGTTCCATGAAGATATTTTGTAAATTTCCTACCGTAAATATATCAAAACTTAATTTTTGATTAGTAATATGCATTGCTAAGAACTTCATTTGGACAACTTTAAAGATGATTTTCTCAATATTTAGATTTTTTTGCACCCTCAGATTCCAGATTTTCAAATAGTTGTATCTCAGCCAAATATTGTCCTATCCTAACAAACCATACATCAATGGAAGCTTATTTATTCAGCTTTCAGATGATGCATAAATCTCAATTTCAAAAAATTTACCCTTATGACTGGTTTTGTGCTCCAGGGTAGAGACCTGCACTCGTGGGACCCAACGCAACAGGGTGCGGCGCGGGACAACCCTTGATGGGCGGGTGCGGGCGGGAAGAGACTCGTGTGTGTCCCGCAAAATAGAAATTATCTAAACATAAAATGTCTAAAACATATAAATTGTTATTTATGTGTTGCACAAAAGCAAAAAGAACAACTAATGACATTAAAATGGTTAACACGCGCAAGCTAGGCAGAGTTTATATTTATAACACGTGTTTAAAGGGTGGTACAATGTAGCCAATTACAGACTCAGCTGTTGATTTCTGGAACGCAGTGGCCAATCAGAGGTGATTAAGTTAGAATCTACTCATTCTACTCATGCTGACATTGCGTGCTCACGAATCCTCTCATTTTAACACACATAAGTGTAGACATTGTGAAAGATTCATTGTGCATATGTTCATTGTGTTATAATAGAGCTTTATGAGATCGTGATGAACCGAGATGTCAGCTTTTAGTGACAACAAAGGAAGCGCTGCTCGCATTCTGCCATGCCAAACCATGCGCGCAGCAGCCAATGCATAACAGTGGTTTGTGAATGTTGATACTTAGCCTAAATAACAAATATTTTATCGGGAGCATTTATGCTGGGATGTTGTGGATCTTAGATGTTACAGAACCATTTCATGTAAATTTCTTTGACGTGCTGAAAAAAAATCTATATAGATTACTTTTATGCGGGCGGGAGCGGGACAAAATATGAATGTCGCGGGCGGGAGCGGGCCCAGATAAGATATTTTTCTGTGGGAGTGGGCGGGCGCGGGACAGAATCTCGCAGGTCTCTACTCCAGGGTCACATATGATGTGAGGAACAGAATCAAATTTGCTATTCGCATTTACATACATTAATGTATTGATGGAGCGTCTAAATATCAGTGTTTCCATACCGATGTATTTTCCTCCAGGTCCAGTGACGGCATCAGGTTTGTATTTATTCTGCTTCCTCGTCCGCAGGTCTTCCGTTCGTCACGGCGGCTAATAAGTTCGAGGCTCTGGCGGCCCATGATGCACTGGTGGAGCTGAGCGGTGCTCTGAACACCGTCTCCGTCAGCATGATGAAGATCGCCAACGACATCCGCTTCCTGGGATCCGGACCTCGCTCGGGTCTCGGAGAGCTGATCCTGCCCGAATTCTGCTTCCTCGTCCGCAGGTCTTCCGTTCATCACGGCGGCTAATAAGTTCGAGGCTCTGGCGGCCCACGATGCACTGGTGGAGCTGAGCGGCGCTCTGAACACCGTCTCCGTCAGCATGATGAAGATCGCCAACGACATCCGCTTCCTGGGATCCGGACCTCGCTCGGGTCTCGGAGAGCTGATCCTGCCCGAGAACGAGCCCGGCTCCAGCATCATGCCCGGTGAGTGACGCGCCCGCCGGCCAATCACAGCCTGAGCCTGTGTGACGCTCACCTCTGACCTTTAGCTCTGGACTTGTGTTTCTGGTCTATTTTTGGGGCTCTGATGTCCTCGACCTCTGAAAAATGCAACACACACAAACACACACACACATTCACGCACACACTCTCACACACACATTCACGCACACACTCTCACACACACACACGCACACACACATACTCTCACACGCACTCACGCACACACACGCTCACGCTCGCACACACATTCACGCACACACACATGCACACACACTCACGCACTCTCACACACTTTCACACTTTCACACACGCTCACACACACACAGTACTTTATTCTCAGAAGCTGGAATCAGTCACACACTGTCCTGTATGGTGTGTGTGTGTGTGTGTCTCAGGGAAGGTGAACCCCACGCAGTGTGAGGCCATGACTATGGTAGCAGCTCAGGTGATGGGAAACCACGTGGCTGTTACTGTCGGAGGAAGCAACGGACACTTTGAGCTCAACGTGTTCAAGCCGATGATCGTGAGTCGCCTTTCCAACTTTCCATCTCGTGCAAAGTGACTTGCATTGCTTTGAAGATATACATTTAATCAGTTCATGCATTGATTCCCTGGGGAAAACAAGCACCAGAATGTTCAATTTTTATATGTAAAGAATTCCAGAAAGATTTTTGAATGATGAGACCGAATCAAAAGTTTGGAATCATTTTAAAAATGTTTTTGAAAGAGTCTCTCCTTCTCAGCAAGGCTGTGTTTATTTGATCAAAAATACAGTAAAAACAATGAAATATTATTATAATTTAAAGCAGCTGTTTTCTATGTGAATCTCTGTTAAACTGTAATTTATTTCTGTGATGCGCAGCTGTATTTTCAGCATCATTACTCCAGTCTTCAGTGTCACATGATCTTCAGAAATCATTCTAATATGCTGATTTGCTGCTCAAGAAATATTTCTGATTATTATCAATGTTGAAAACAGTTGTGCTGCCCAATATTTTTGTGGAAACCGTGATACACTACCATTCAAAATGTTGCGGTCAGTGAGATTTAAAAAGAAAAGTCATATTTTTATTCAGCAGGGATGCATTAAATTGATTAAAATGGACTGTAAATCCATTTATAAGTGGAGTAATGATGGTGAAAATTCACCTTTGCATCACAAGAATAAATCATATTATAAAATATATTCACATAGAAAAGTTATTTTAAACTGTAATAATATTTCACAGTATTTTACTGTATTTCTGATCAAATTTCAAGAACATTAAAAATCCTAGTTATTTTTGACCAGTATTGTTAATGTTTTTACTGTTACGTTTGATCAAAGTATGAATTTCTTTTGACCCAAAACTTTAATATATGCAAGTAATTTTTGAAACGGAGCATTTGAGATTGCTTTAATTAATTTTCTTGAAAATTATTTCCAGGAAAAATAATTAAACTTTCCACATCTTGGAAGTTTGTTTAAATCAGAGAAACTATTAAAACATCTGTCTTATCTGCCTCGTTCTCATCCAGTCAAAACAAGGACGAATGATGAAACTATTGTGAAATACAGATAAATACATTTGATATCACAAGCAAAATCATTGCAAATATCCCAGCCCTGATGGATGCAATATGTGTCCCTGCAGCACAAAAGCAGTGTTAAGTCGCTGGGGTATATTTGTAGCAATAGCCAACAATACATTGTATGGGTCAAAATTATACATTTTTCTTTTATGCCAAAAATCATTAGGATATTAAGTAAAGATCATGTTCCATGAAGATATTTTGTAAATTTCCTACCGTAAATATATCAAAACTTAATTTTTGATTAGTAATATGCATTGCTAAGAACTTCATTTGGACAACTTTAAAGATGATTTTCTCAATATTTAGATTTTTTTGCACCCTCAGATTCCAGATTTTCAAATATTGTCCTATCCTAACAAACCATACATCAATGGAAAGCTATTTATTCAGCTTTCAGATGATGTATACATCTCAATTTCACAAAATTGACTCTTATGACTGGTTTTGTGGTCCAGGATCACACATATAAATTCTATATAAGGAATATAAGTTGCAGGAACATCCACACCACACACACTCTCAGACGACTTGTTCTCAGGGTGTTAATGTGTAATTTCTGTGTTCCAGATTAAAAACGTGCTGAACTCTGCCCGGCTGCTGGGCGACGCTTCGGTTTCATTCACTAATAACTGTGTGTCTGGAATCGAGGCCAATACAGAGAGAATCAACAAGCTGATGAACGAGTCTCTGATGCTGGTCACGGCGCTGAACCCTCACATAGGTAACCACAGCAGACGGTGCCAGAAACACTTATTCCTGAATCCAGATGAAGATTTGAGCAAATCAGGGGCCAGTTGTTCAAAAAGTGTAATCTGGATCAGAATGATCTGGATTTGGAGATCCCATCTTAAACCCGTCTTACTTTTGTGCTGGTTTTTCAAAGCCAAACTGGATTGGATCACTCTGATCCAGATACACACTTTCCAGATTTCCAAATCTGGATTACTAGAGCTCTACGGAGCCCCTAAAGGGACATGATGATGGAGGAAAACATGCTAATATTTTGCATTGCATTTACACAAATAACTGCTTCTGACTGCTCCATCTCTGATGATTGTGCCAATGTAGTTTACAATCAGTGATTACAAAAAAAACTTAAAATATAATATTTTTGTTTAAATTTGATTGACAGCTGTTTGGGAATTTGGGGATACATTACATGTTACAAATGTTGCATTTTTTGGACCAGTTTTTAAGTTTTACTACATTTTTGTTCCAGAAATCCACTCTTCTGCTGGGATCAGAATAATCCAGTTTTCTGGATCGAAAGTATCCCAATCTTACTAAAACATTTTGAACGGCACAAACTGAGGGTTTAATCCAGATCTAAACCAAGATTGGATTTTGTGATCTAATCTGAATTCAGAATCCTTTGAACAACCCATTTTCAAGATTTGATCCAATCTGACGGCCAACATCCGATCGGAGTGCTTTTGAGCAACTGGCCCAGAGCTGCTTTGGGTTACAGCAGAACCTGCTTGTGTATTAATGCATAGATGCAAACTCCTCAGCTTTCAGTGACAACTCACTTTATTGAGATCAAAATAGGTCACCAGTGAGATTTGCTTAGATCCAATGAGAAAGTGTTTTTATGAGGGGGGGGTCTTACAAGGGTAAATAATGAACTGGGGCTCGGTTGCACAAACTGTTTAGACGAGTCTTAAAAAGTTAGTCACCTAATTTTTTTTCTTCAAGACTGGTCATAACTTTAAATTCAGTTATGAATAGGTAGATTGGTCTTATTTGTGTTGGAAAAGTGGCAGCTGCTAGTTGGTCAAACTAGTTCTTAAGACACAGTCGATGCAACTGGCCCCTGATTAATTCAATAAGTTTTGTATAGTATTTTCTTTACTCGATGTCTAAAAAGGGTAATATTTGATGTATTTGAGGTCTGAGATGTGGGAACGCTGAAGAGAGAGAGGGCAAACAATTTGCATTTTAGGTCTAATCAGCCAATCATAGCACTTCATCTTTTATAACATGGGATTTTGACCAAATACGTGTCCCTGCAGCACAAAAGCAGTGTTAAGTCGCTGGGGTATATTTGTAGCAATAGCCAACAATACATTGTATGGGTCAAAATTATAGATTTTTCTTTTATGCCAAAAATCATTAGGATATTAAGTAAAGATCATGTTCCATGAAG